AACAGTCGACAACCCTCTTCTCTCCCCCCCTCCCCAACAGCATCAGGTTCTCAGCAGCGTCCTGGGTTTGAACATGGAGGTTCTGTTTGCCTGTCACGGCCACTCGCTGATGACGAGTCTGTCATGAAATGGTCTAACCGTAAGCCTGCTTTGTCAGAGTCGCCCGATAGCCTTCATTGTATCTTGTGGCAGTGAGTTCCATACGTTACACAGTATGTATGAGTCCTCCTGAGCCTATAGCTGTTGTTGACTTTCCATAAAATGAATGAAGATGCTTTCCTGGCTTGGCTGTACTGTAAGCCCACCCATACAGGGCTGGTTTCCCCTCTGAAGCGACTTGCGTAGAGGTCTCCCTTGTGCTACGTTTCTGGGCCGCTGCCAGGCTACTTCTCCTCTTTTCCATTCGACTTTTGCCCCCCTTTGGCCCTCCTTCCTTCCCTTTTCAGCTCCTTGCCAAGATATCTATAAGCCAAGAAAGGCACAATGGTGTGTGGAGTGCTGGCACCATCTGCAGAGGGTTTTCTCCAAAACAAGGGTAGCCGGATCTCGGGGAGTGACCTGCAGTTTCAGAACGTTTACGACCCTTTCATGAGAGTGAGGGGCTAGTCCGTGTCTAAAAGGGCAGGTGATCTCTTACTCATCTCTCTGCTTGTTTCAAGATCTTCTGCTTCACCCTCGAGGTGCCAAGCACAGCCGAGCTGATCTGCCAGTTGCCATCTTCAGAATCTATCAGGCATTACTAGGCCCCGCCTTGTTTCCATAGGCTCCACCTCCTGACCAACCAGGCCCCACCCCCTTGGGCATTAGAATGTGTGCCTAAAAGGACATGGCAAGTCTAGCCAAAACGCTCCCGGTTCTCCTGGCCCTTGTTCACCTTTGTGTGTTCTTTGACGAGGCAAAAGCAGTCCGCACATGCTCAGAGGCACCTTCCTATCTCTATTTCACTTTGTCTGGAATTTCACCCCCAACTGTTTTTGAGGCCACCCACCCTGGGGAGTTCCAGCTAATGTCTGCTTAACAATGTCAGCCGTTCAGCGATATTTTCTTATTATTTATTCTACACTTTTCTTCCCAGCGGGTTTTACGACACTTTCCCTTTCTCCATTGTATTCTCACAGTAACCCTGTGAGGTAGGTTAGGCTGAGGGTACATGACTGGCCCAATGTCACCCAGTGGGCTTCCCTGGCAGAGCGGGGATTCGAACCTGGTCCTGCCAGAGACTAGCCTGATGCTCTAAGCCCTGCACCACGCTAGTTACAGCAGATCACATGCCAGAGGCAGAACTCTTGTGTTGTCCCAGATGCTGGTGCTTCTCAGTGGAGTTGCTCCACACATCCATGCGAAAGTTACCTGCAGTTAAACTATCACAGAGTCTGGCTGAGGGCAGGAAGACTTCTCCCTCCCTCCCTCTTGGATCCTAAAATTTCCATAGCACCTGGAGTGTCGTGTGCAGTTCTGGAGGACTCACTTCAAAAAGGATGTGGGCAGAATGGAGCAGGTGAGAGAGCGATGAGGATGATCGGGGGCCTGGAGACCCAGCCCTTGGAGGAAAGGCTGAGGGACTTGGGAATGTTCAGTCTGGAGAAGAGGAGGCTGAGGAGGGGGAACAGGATTGCTTTATGTACTTGAAGGGCTGCCGCTTAGAGGAGGGCAGGGAGCTGTTCCTGTTGGCAGCAGAGAACAGGACTGGCAATAATGGGTTTAAAGTAAGGGCGGGAAGGTACCAGCTGGACCTGAGGAAAAACTTACTGTAAAAAGAGTTGTGCAAGAGTGGAATCAACTGCCTGGGGAGGTGGTGAGCTCCCCCTCACTGGCAGTCTTTAAGCATCAGCTGGACAAACACTTGTCAGGGATGCTCTAGGCTGATCCTGCATTGTGGAGGGGGTTGGACTAGATGGCCTGTAGGGCCCCTTCCAACTCTATGATTCTATGCTTGTGCAGTGCTATTTCCCCACCTCCCTCCCTCCTTCCTCCTGTCGGACCCCAAAAGGAGGGCTGCCGCTGGAGGGGAGAGGCGGGAAGATCAAACTTCACATGCACAACTTATCCTCCCTGCCTCCCTCTTTTTTTTACCAGTTTCTCCCCAAGGCTTCGTTCATGGTCACTGTAGATATTCAGAGAACCCAGTGAAAATGTCACATCCTGGACCCTGCCCAGAGCTCTGCAAACCCGCAAGGAGCTGGTTGCTGTGTGACCCTGTGGCCCGGCACGTACTGAGCGAGGCTTCCAGCTCGCCATAACCCCAGTCATTAGTCATATGATTAGCTAATCCGCGGGACAAAGAAAGAAGCTTGTGAGCTGGGTGCCTCTGGAGGGGAAGGGGAGCAGCAGTTTTCCAGTGCCACCCAAAGCAGCACTGGACCCTTCTAAACCCACCGAAATCCATTGTAACTGCCTAGGATTGTGCTGCGACTTGAGTAACCCAACCAAGGAAGGGGATTTTCTCCTCCCCTTAAGTGTGTGCTGGCCAGAGCTTGCAGAAAGAGCAAGATTAAAAATGTGATAATAGTTCCACAGCTGAGAAGCCAGATGATGTGTCTGTCTCTGCATCCGTATGTAGATTATTACAGAATCAGGAAAAGGCCGGAGATGTGTGATAGTGTTTTTCTTACCGGAAAGAGGTAAATAGAAGGGGGAAAAAACCCTGTCTTGGTGATAGGCATCTTTGTTTGTAGTCAGTGGGTCTTGCAGGGCTTTTGTGGTGGCGCAGAAGCCCACAGAACCTTCGTCTCAAATCAGATAGCACTGTAAGAACCGACGAGACCTGTTTGATCATAGAATCATAGAGTTGGAAGGGACCTTCAGGGTCATCTAGTCCAACTCCCTACACAATGCAGGAAATTCACAGATACCTCCCCCTCCACACCCCCAGTGACCCCTGCTCCATGCCCAGAAGATGACAAAAAACCCTCCAGGATCCCTGGCCAAACTGGCCTGGAGAAAAATTGCTTCCTAAACATCAGAAGTGATGGGTAACAGTGTCCCGTTTTTTGTCTCTCCCCCTCTAATGTTTTTCACTTAAATAACTTCATTATTTCATGACTCCTCTGTGGAACAGTTAGTAACCAATGTTCTTCCAAGGGAAACTGACCCTCCAAGCTGCATTTCTCACTGAGATGGTCTGCCTCTGTTGAGTTACACCACATCGGCCAGGAGGTGAGGCACACGTAGTGGATTCTTGCTGTTTTAAAAATCTCCCTGCATGTAGAAAACTAGTGTGTCAGGGGAAAGGCTGCTCCTTGACATCTAGATTTCTCTATGTAGGGGGATGTAGTTTTAATGCAAAGGTGCATTCAGTCATGAAGGTGACTACTCTGTGAGAACAGGGCCTCCAGACTAGTTGTGGTGGAAAGAGTCAGGTGTACTGTTCACATTTCCTTTCCCTTGTGTTCATGGGAGGGGGGCAGGGTGTGTGTGTGTGCGTGGGCACAGAGCTTCTCCATCTCTGGATGCTCCCTGCTGATCTGCACCTGCCTGCTGGTTCCCCGGCCCTTCAGATAGGAAGAGGTTTGCACTAATGGGAAGCGCCGTCAAGTCACAGCTGACTTATGGCGACCCCAAAGGGTTTTCAAGACAAGAGACCAACAAAGGTGTTTTGCCATCGTCTGCCTCGGCATAGTGAACCTGGACTTCTTTAGTGGTCTCCCATCCAAGTACTAACCAGGGCAGACCCGGCTTAGCTTCCGAGATCTGAGGAGATGGGGCTAGTCTGGGCCATCCATCCTCCTCCTCCTGGCTCCTTCCCTTCTTCTGGTTCCTTCCCTTCCCTGAGAGACAGTTTGCTATACTGGTTAAGAAGAGCACGGACTCTGATCTGGGTGAACCAGGTTTGATTCCCCACTCCTCCACATGCAGCTGCTAGCATGACCTTGGGTCAGTCACAAGTTCTTATTAAGGGCAGTTTCTGTCAAAGTTCTCTCAGCCCCACCTACCTCACAGGGTGTCTGTTGTGGAGAGGGGACGGGAAAGGAGATTGTAAGCCCCTCTGAGACTCTTTCAGGTAGTGAAGGGTGGGGTATATATCCAATCTCTTCTTCTTCTTCTCTCTTAGCCTGTGAGAAGGCCTGAGGGAGTCCTCTTTAGCCTCTGATGGCTTTTGCTGTGCCAGAGCCTGGGCCTTCTGTTAATTTTTTATGTTTTACAGGTAGAATTGAGCACTTGGGTGAGGGGGACTAAGCCCTACTCTCTCCTCTCCTTACACTGTAATGCTCCATTGTGTGAATGGTCCCCCACCCTCAGCTCCATTTTAATGCCATGGCTGCAATCAAACATCACGATAAATTCTGGTTTGTTAATGAGATTGAACTCCCGGTGGTTGTGACATCAGAATGGTTCAACAAACCGGAGTTTGTTGGCTAGCACTATACGGGAGTTTCAAACTAGGATTTGCCGCCGGTTGGTTAACTGGTTTGTACAGATTGTGGTTTGTTGTGACGTCTGTGGGCGTGTTGTGCGTCTACCATGTGAATTGCGTGTTATTTATATGTGTGCGTGTGTGATGAATAGTCGTTTTCCCCATTATTGGATTTTGCTGCTGCTGTATTTTATCACTTTTTAAGATGCCATTGGTGTCAGAGAGGGAAGGCAGAAATCATCTAGTAAGATTCACAATGTAGACACATGATTAAACTCATTATCTTGTTTAAAGAGCCCTGAGGGTTTGTTCCATGGTAGGGTGGGGTGGGGGACTCCCCACCGCATTTCCCTTTGTGGAGAATTTCAGTTTGGTTTCATGCTCTGAGCCAGCATTACCATCCTCCAATTTGCGGCTGAGGGGAAACGCCACACTTATCATCCTGTCTGGGGAACGTGATAAAAGGAAACGGCTGTAGGCTGATTATTTGTATTGTTCCGGGCGTGCCGGAGGTTGGGTCTGCTTTTATGAGAGGCTCTTACTCGCCTGGCTGGCAAACATCTGGCAGCTAGTGGATTTTGTTCGGAAGAAGGCGACAAGTGTGGAGCATTAACGTTTCCGTCTGTACATGTGCCTCTACCCCCAGCTGCCGTGCAATGAGTCCTTTGTGGGGGAAGAAAGCCCTTCGTCGTCGTCGTCGTCTCTCTGCCCGACCCCTACATCTGGAATTGGGAATCACTGGCAGGTCGTTTCTGCATGGCTAACGCCAGGGCTGTGTGAGCAGATCGCCGGAGCCTGGACCGCTGCTGGAGGTAAGCCGTCGCTATGGCAACGCCAGGATGTTCCCTGAGAAGAACCAGAGGGCTGTTGTGACACAGGGGGATGTGTTTGACAGAGGGGTTTTCCTCCTTTCAGTTGTGAAGAGCAGGTCGGTTTTGTAGCACCCGTCAGCTGGTGACCTCCAGTGAGCTGGACCAGAGCTGGGGAGGGTCTTCTGGTCGCGCCTGGGATACGATCATGCCGAGACAGCTGAGATCTAGGTCATGCTGAGCCACCAGGTAATTTTTTTTTTAAAGAATGCTTTTTCTTTGGAAATAATTAAAGGTGTGCGTACACATCTGGTTCGATAGACATTTTCTGTTGAAAGCGTGAAAAGCAGTCAGAGAAGTGTTTCATTTTTTTTAAAAAAACCCTACGGGTTTCCTCGATGGGAAACCCTTCAGAAAATTAAATACAAAGGGGAGGTGTCATTTGGGTCCCCCCCCCCCCCCCCCCCCCCTATTAATTTTTTAAAAAACCACCCCCCCCCCCCCTCTGCCTCACTGAATATTTGTAAATGAACCAGCTCCACACCAGTTCGTTTAGAAAGTAATTTAAATACACGTGCGTCTTCTGTTTGTGGGGAGAGTTTCCTTACACATTAGGTTGAGTCGGAAATCTGTATGTGAAATGAGGCGTTGGGAGATCTTCCCTGAAACCGGTCTCCCTCATACGATGCTTGGTGTGGATCGATGCTTGGTGTGGATCGTCAGGGGAACTGACTATGGGCTTCATGCTCAGGTGGCTGGAGCGGGCGGGGTGGATGGAGAAGGAGGAGGAAAGCAGCAGGCGTAATTTAATAAAAGCCGGGTGCTGCTTGAGCTATTCAGCGCTGGGAAATTAAATACGGGATTGTGCCAGGGCCCCTGGAGCATCCCTGCCTTCTTCGGAGGGCTTTGGTTCTGTAGACTTCACAGCCCGAGTTGGTCACGTCATGCTGAGTGGGCAGGTGGGGGTCGGAGGGAAAAGCGATGCGGGGGAACAAACGATTCTACGTGGGCCTGAAGTGTGGTCATGCCGCACCCAGCTGCCCAAACGAAGCACATCTGGAGGTGCAGAAGTGAGCCAGGAGCCGTATCGATGGTTAAAAGTGAAGTCACCCATTTTTCGGTTGTGGCTTTTCTGTCGGTTATCTGCAAGCCTCGGAGGGGCTGATCTGGGTGTGGGGCTTAGCGCAAGAGGGACGGAAACCAAACAAGAGTTTTTTTGGGGGTGGAGGGAGACCAGCTGGGCTTGGCTCTCAGATTTTGGGGGGGGTGGTTCTTGGACAAGTACTCTTCAGTAGGGTTATTAACTAATATGGCATGCAGCACTGGAGCTGGCCCCCTCCTGGAATACTCTGGGAGGGGCTCATGCTTTGCAAAATGTCTGATCGCAACCCTTCTCCTGCCCCACCCAGTAAGCACCTGGCCCTCTGATCTGAAGGTGCTTCAAAGCTCTCTCTGCACATTCGGAATGATCAAGGCAGCAGCTAATGAACTAGTCTTCAGGAGCCTTCGAGTGACTGTAGTAGCAGCTTTCAGAAGTGATACCTATTGATACCTGGGGGGACCCCTTCCTGCAATCTTGTAGCTGCCATCGCTGCTCACAGCCCAGTAGTCTGTGGCTTCTGATGACATGATGGAGAGTAAAGTCACAGGAGAAGAATATTCTCTGCTAAAACGAAGCAAAACCCAGTTTGGGGGTCATCAGCCGATGTGGATGGGCAATGCCAGAGGGGGGGGGGAGGGGAAAGGTGGCGGTAAAGCAGCCATCAGACCTACTAGCTGCTGCAGTCACTCGGAGCCTTCTGGTCACGTGGAGGCTGCTTGGGTGACTGTGAGACTTCTTAAGCCTTTGCCCAGAGGCTGGTCAGTTTCAACTCACTTAGGAACTGGACCTCCTGCTTCCAAATGCACTTGCCCAAATGCACTTGCCCGTTCTCCCCGTATGCCCCTCAGAGAGCCTTGTATTCAGGCTCCTGGTTGTCCCCGGCCCTAAGGATGTCCGCTTAGGGGCCTTTTCTGCCCTGGCCCCTGACTGATGGAACATGCTCCCGTTTGAGATCAGGGCCCCGAGAGACTCATTACAGTTTCACAGGGCCTGTAAGACAGAGCTGTCCCGCCAGGCCTTTGGTTGAGGCAGTGGACGCCCAACCATCTGGCCTCCTTTGCTGAAAACTGCCCTGTTACGTCTGTCCATTCCGTCTTTGTTCTGTCATCCAGTTAGCATTGCTGGAACTATGAATGTATGTCTTGGTCTGCCTCTTTTAATGTTTTAAATAATTTATTGTATTGTTATAATTGGTTTAATGGTTTTGTAACTATTTTGTTGTTAGCAACCCTGAGCCCGCTCGTAGGGAGGGCGGGATGTGTGGAACAAAATCAATCAATCAATCAATTAATTAAGGTTGTCTTTGGAAGCCCTCCCCTGGATTCCTCCCTCAACGAGGCATGTGATGACTAGAGACGGAGCCTTTTGTGTGGTGGCGCCTGCTTATGGAATGCCTGTCTGGTGCTTTCCCCCCCTTTTCTGTAGAGTTTTATGTGCCGGGTTAAAACTGCTTTTAGTCACTTGTGTTTTCAATAAATGAGAAGCTAACTGTTGCTCTGGCGGTTTGGTGGAGAGGCTGTTTTATTGGCATTTCATTCCTGCATTTTAATTGATAATTAGTGTTTCATTGCTAGAAACCGCTTTGGAAATATTATATTGAAAGACGGGATCAGTTCTCTGAATAACTAAGCTCCCATCTATGTAGGCAGTCAGTGCTCCCTTTCTCCTGTGTAGGAGAGACTACCACAAGGTAGTTTT